AAATCAACTTTCAGTGTCACAAAGGAGGATCTGTTTGAGCGCAGCTCGATCACCATGGTTACAGTTTGACAAACTGTCAGGAAGAAGCCCAGCCAGCTCCCTTAATCTGTTCTTGACTAAATCCTAGAAAAAATATCAAACTGTAACAACATTTATAATTTAAGTTAATGATCTAGAAATGGGCTGTGCAATTTTTACACTTCGTTTTGATTTTCGGAGACGTTAACACTAAACTGAATTAAATAATACCTTTAAATATCAGGGAATATTTGCCTTCCATTTTCATGTTTGACCATTTTTGATAACCTGTGAAGGTGTGCGCTGCTCTGAGCCAACAGTGGCAGGTTTCTGCACACTGACGCTCCTCTTGCTCTCTCGGCACTAATACCAGACGAAAGCACGTCAAACACAAGATCTTACATCCCACTACCTGATTTAGAAGCGTCTCTAACTTAGATTCTGTGAAAGTCCTCTTCCTTCTGCGTGCAGACATGATCTCTGACCATGCAGAGAGGAGAATCACACATGCAGGACGTGCCTCCTCTGTGCACAGTTTCACGTTGATCAACGTGCACAAAGAAAGCATGCTTGGAGTCATGTGCACACACACTTTGGCGATGTTTTTTCAATTTAAGCATATGCTATGTTTCATTAGGAAATTTGCGTCAAGTTGTTGTGCATAAGGCCCAAGTTATATAGAATATCTTTTTTTGACCAAATCTGCCATTTGTAATAAATATAACATGGTAGTTGATTTAAAATCCATAATACCTTCTGCAGATTCAAAATGTTACTGTTGATGCAGTGTCTGTCTGTCTCTCTATCTATGGTGTTCAAATGAAACTGAAGGCAAAGTTTTTCATCTCTTACAGTGAGATTAGTAATAATAATGATGTGGTGTCATCACTGTATGTTCTCATACAATGGCAACATTGGCTCTCTGAATTTAACCCATCCACCAGCAGGTGGAGCAGTCAGCAGCTATTGGAAGCACCTGGGGAGCAGGTGGGGATGGGGTGTGCTGCTCAGAGACACCACGAGATGTGCAATGACTGCAGGACCTTCAGGTCCCGAGTCGGCTGCCCTGCCTCTACCTCATCTCAGACCCCATATTCAATCAATCTTTAATCAGACTGTAGTTCATCTTTAAATCTATTCAGTAAAGTCTACCCATCTGCTAGGACAGCAAGAAAAAAGAAAACCACGCAGAAAAAATGAGACAGTGAATGTTTGTTTATGACGACTTCACAGCAAAACCCAATGAGTACAGAGCTGAAAAGGATGCTGGGACACAAGGAACTGAACTATCCACAAGTTGGGGAAAAACTAAAGAGTTTTTCCTAATAACATACGACAGTGTGCATGTTAAGAAAGTGAAAAGATTAGGTATTAAAGTGTTTCATCTTACCAATGCAATAAGAGAGCAGGACGGAGAGTAACACTGTCAGACCAACCGCACTAAGAGCCGTACACCTGAGAGACGAGAGGAACACACAAGAACGTCCATCATCACAAACACACATACAATGCATCATCAGCACAGTTGATCAGAGGGCACAAAGAAAATTATGTTGTACAATAATGTACTTCACTCTGCAAAACCAAATTACTGCAAAGACTTCTATAATGATCTCAACAAATATGCTGACAACAATGTTTCTTTTTTGTTGTTGCTTTTTTAAAAACAGTGTGTGGTGGAGGGGAGGTTGGAATGAGTTATATTAATTTCCCCCCCAAAAAAATTTATGAACGGAAGGAAGTGTTAACATTTTGAATTTTAAACACACAAATCACTTGTTGGAACAAGTTAAAATTAAAATTAGAGGTTCTACAAAATGTAATAAATGTAACAGCATTATTAAAGCTCATATCGGTACTCCGTATCATTAAGTACTCCAATGTAAGTACTTATGGTTAGGGTGCTAATATTTAAGCTAGCAACGTTAAACTTAGCTACCTTGTGTAGCAATTCAGCAATTTATAGTTTTTAAGTTTTTATTTTATGGTGGCAGCCAAACGGTGAAAATTGGCTCTGAATTGCTCTAGCAGTAGTTTTAACTTTGCAAAGATAAAGCAATACACATTGTTGTGGTGTTGATGAAGTTTTGAACAGCAAAAGCTGCCTGGCTGGTCTGTTGTAAGGTGGTTTGTTCATGGAGCCACAGCAGCAGCACGAGCCGTCTGAAAACGCAGGCGAGGAAGCGAATGTTGAGGCCAACGCCACAGGAATGGTCTAACGTTATGAAACTAGCTTTAACTGCATTTCAGTGTATAATTGTCTAATGACCATGTACTTGTATTAGGCTAGTTTGTAAGCTTTAGTTTTTCTTGTTTTTGTTCTTGAGTATACACCAATGGTCAAAATTTGCTGTACAGTAGTCCCTCGTTTGTCGTGGGGGAGCCGTACCCTGAAGCCCCGCGATAAGTGAAAAACCGCAAAGTAGGAATAGTAGTACAAGTAGTACGCTAAGTAGTAGTTTAGGTGCTTTAAACCCTTCCCACACTCTTGCAATATTCTAAACAATGTTTCTAAACTCTAAATGCTCTAAAAGAGCACAGAATGTCATGATTTCAGCTCTTTGACTCGGGACTGAACTCTTGGCCACGCCCACTTCTCCGCTCTGCACGGAGATCCGCTGATCAGCGGCAGCAGGAAGCTTCTCCCACAGCTGTAGGCTGCACAGAGGTGCTAAATAATTTTTAAACAATTTATTTTAAATTAAAAAATCCATGCTGATCATGTGGCTCATCCATCAGTCAGCCATTGTGCGTAATGTCCAATCTTACTTTGAAAAACCACAAAAGAGCGAGTCTACGAAAAAGAAACCGCGAAGTAGCAAGAAACTACTGCATTGCTGATGTGGCACAAGTTGCACATTAACATTGTTTATTTATGCCTTTTATTTTTTATACAGATTAACCAATAATTCAAGAATATCACAATTCAACATTTTTCAGTCAGGTCATCTGGACAGTTTCTTCTTTTTTTTTTGTGCTGAAACGTTTCGCCTTCGATCTGGAAGGCTTCATCAGTCAAGTAAACACACAACACAAAACTGATTCTTCCTCCCACAGCTTACTCCAAAATGGAAAAAAACAGTTATGTTGGTGCAAAGATGGTCTCTGTGGCACGACCCCTCCTCCATTGTCGGCCCTCTTCCTTGTTGACAGTCGTGTTAAACTGACTGAAAAATGTTGGATTGTATACCTGGATTATTGAGCATGGACTTTGTTGTTTTCAACCAGTTTGACACGACTTGATCATGACATCTTACGCTGTTGTCAGTGCTGTTAAGTGAATAATGGACCTAAAATTTACAGGTGGCCAGAAATGCAATTCAAAATCAATTGTAAGTTTGTTTATGGTCTCTTATATTAATTAAAAGGTAGTTGTTTGCAACTTTAATTTGTTATAATGGAATAATATGTCAGATAACATAAGCAAAAATATAAAGGGTAGTGCCCTTTCTGGGTCGGGGAGGAGGTCCTACCCCAAGTGGAGGAGTTTAAGTATCTTGGGGTCTTGTTCACGAATGAGGGGAAAATGGAGTGGGAGATCGATAGGCGGATAGGTGCAGCATCGGCAGTCAAGCAGGCACTGTACTGGTCTGTCATGGTGAAGAGAGAGCTGAGTCAAAAGGCGAAGCTCTCAATTTATAGATCGAGCTCATCTATGGTCATGAGCTTTGGGTTGTGACCGAAAGAACGAGATCACAAATACAAGCGGCCAAAATTTTTCTCCGCAGGGTGTCTGGGCTCTCCCTTAGAGATAAGGTGAGAAGCTCAGTCATCCGGGAGGAACTCAGAGTAGAGCTGCTGCTTTTCCACATCGAGAGGAGCCAGTTGAGGTGGCTCGGGCATCTGGTTAGGATGCCTCCTGGACGCCTCCCTGGTGAGGTGTTCTGGGCACATCCCACTGGGAGGAGACCCAGAGGAAGACCCAGGACACGCTGGAGGGACTTTGTTTCTTGGCTGGCCTAGAAATGCATTGGGATTCCCCCGGAGGAGCTGGACCAAGTGGCTGGGGAGAGGGAAGTCTGGGGCTCCCTACTTAGGCTGCTACCCCCTCGAACTGACCCTGGATAAGCGGAAGAAAATGGATGGATAAATTATAATAAACAATAACTGATGTAGGCAGCACTGTGGCACAACTGGTAGAGCTGCTGTGTCTCAGCGAGCGGGTCCCCGGTTCACATCCCAGTCCAGGGGCCTTAATGGGTGGAGTTTGCATGTTCTCTCCGTGCATGCATGGGTTTTCTCCAGGTACTCCTGTTGCCTCCCACAAACCAAAAACATGCATGTTAGACTGATTGGTAACTCTAAATTGGTCCCTAGGTGAGAGCGAGTGAGTGAATGGTTGTTTGTCTCGTTTGTCTCTATGTGTCCCTGTGATGGACTGGAGACCTGTCCATGGTGTACCCCACTCCTCGCACAGTGATTGTTGGACATGGGCACTGGCGACCCCCGTGACCCAAAATGGAAGAAGCGGGTAAAAGATAATGGATGGATGGTTGTTCATTTATTCTGACTTAGATAAATAAGTTACTCATACTTGAAAAAATTAAGTTAACAATTTGCAGACATTTCTGAGTAAAATCAAAGGAAAATAAATAGGTTAGAATAACAAAAAGGAGCAATATTTATTAAATTAAAATTAAGTTGGTTCAACTTAATAAAGATTGTAGAGGAGACAGAAAATCATGTTTTTGTACTAAAGTAATTGAGTTTGCCTAACTAGAAAAGTCTTTTGGCATTTACTCAATTTATGGCTAAATTGAATCAACTTAAACCACAAGTTTTAAGATCGCAAATGCAAGTCCTATGCAAATTGTTACATCTTTTTTTAAAGTTGAGCCAGCACATTATTTTTAGGGTCAGAGTCAGAAAGTCAAAAGTCAGAGAGGTTTTATTGTCATTTCAGCTACGTACATGTACATATTGAAATGAAACGGTGTACCCCAAGAGTGTGGGAAGTAACAATATAATGGTTATAATTTTTCTTACCGCCATGAGCAATACTTGGACGACTTCTTGAACTTAAAGGCAGACCGGGACAGGGTGTTCCTGGGCAGTGGTCTGGTGGGGGGTGAGTACATTGAGCCTGTCGCCATGGTGTAGCCTGGAGTGGCTGTAGAAAAAAGTGGGGTGGTGCCGGTACCCGTTTTAAAAAGGAAGTGCCTGGAGGGCAAGAGAAGAAAGAACAAGAGAAATAAGTCACACTAAGGCACATGATTATTTACCAATAAACAGTTTAGTCACGCAACTTTGGTGGGGGAATATCAGGGTTCAGGGTTCAAACCCTGGTGCCAACCTCCGAGCAACCTTGGTTACATTATGAGCGTGACACAAAATGAGGCCATGCCGGCTCGAACATCACCCAGATTAACAAGGTGCACGTTAGATTTTGGGAAACCAGGACATTCTGATGACAAAAGGGCTACTGGAACAAGACACACATGGACAAAGGCAGATAACCTAACATTATTGGAATGTTACTATGCAAGCAAACCTAGAGAGAGGGCATATTATGGGAAGGATGTGAGAACTATGGAAACTTTGAAACCCGTCATCCAAATTGACCAAGAAACTTCAAGCCCAGTGTTCCAACTTTAGTGCAAGAAATTCGCTATCACTCCTAGAGATTGAGGAGGTACAACAGATATATTGTGGCAAAGTGGGAGCCAGAACAAATGGTCAGTGGGGATATACCATCCTCTCCATCATTAGAGAATGGGTACTAAGCCCCATTGAAAAGCCCCGAGAAACTGAATTCAAGGGAAGCTGACCTGAGAATGACGACTGTAACCAAGTTAGGTACCTATAACCTGCACTTCTTGCCAAGTGGCAAAGTAATGGTAAATGGTAAATGGACTGCATTTATATACCACCTTTTTATCTTATCCAGATACTCAAAGCACTTTACACTACAATCTGTGCCCTCATTTACCCATTCATACAGCACTCTACCTGAACTCTACAAAGCTAATTGAACAAATCATTCTAAAGTCACTAATCAGTGCTTTAGATCACATTCATACACCAATGGGACACACATCGGAGGCAATGAGGAGTTCAGTGTCTTGCCTAGGGACACTTCGGCATGTGACTGCTGGTGGATTCAAACCCCCAACTCTTGCATTGGAGGACGACTGCTCTAACCACTCAGCCACAGCCGCTCCCAAAAGTACCTTCTGAAGGCCTGCTAGAGCATTGGTTCCTAACCCTGGTCTTCGAGGAACACTATCCTGCGTGTTTTAGTAGTGTCACTGCTTTGACACACCTGATTTGAACGAAAAGGTGAAATGAAAAGGTTAACAGGCTTCTGCAGAACATGAGAAAGTAACTAACTCACTGAATCAGGTGTGCTGGAGCAAGGAAACAACTAAAACATGCAGGATAGTGATCCTCGAGGACCAAGGTTGGGAACCACTGTGCTAGAGGATGTGAATGCAGCATTGCTAAGTATCTCTACTAACACCATTACAGAGACAAATAAGCTGGTATACACAACAGCCACAGTGATCTTTGACTTGCTTGGTTATATGAACAAATCAAACAACAAGGAGCATTGCCCACCATGGAGAAGAAGACTGGAGGTTAAGAGCAAGGGAACACGAAGAGAAATCAACCAACTGTCAGAACAAGGAACTTTTCAACCTTTTGCCACATTTCAGGCTTCAAACATAAAGATATAAAATGTTAATTTTTTGTGAAGAATCAACAACAAGTGGGACACAATCGTGAAGTGGAATGAAATTTATTGGATGTGTCAAACTTTTTTAACAAATAAAAAACTGAAAAGTGGGGCGTGCAATATTATTGGGCCCCCTTGCATTAATACTTTGTAGCTCCGCCTTTTGCTACAGTTCCAGCTGCAAGTCTCTTGGGGTTTGTCTCCATCAGTTTTGTACATGGAGAGACTGAAGTTCTGCCCATTCTTCCTGCAAAACAGCTGGAGCTCAGTGAGGTTGGATGGAGAGTGTTTGTGAACAGCAGTCTTCAGCTCTTTCCACAGATTCTCGATTGGATTCAGGTCTGGACTTTGACTTGGTCATTCCAACACCTGGATACGTTTATTTGAGAACCATTCCATTGTAGATTTGCTTTATGTTTTGGATCATCGTCTTGTTGGAAGATAAATCTCCGTCCCAGTCTCAGGTCTCTTGCAGACTCAAACAGGTTTTCTTCCAGAATGGTCCTGTATTTGGCCCCATCCATCTTCCCAACAATTCCGACCATCCTCCCTGTCCCTGCTGACGAAAAGCAGGACCAAACCATGATGCTGCCACCACCATGTTTGACAGTGGGGATGGTGTGTTCAGGGTGATGAGATGTGTTGTTTTTATGCCAAACATATCGTTTTGTGTTGTGGCCAAACAGTTTGATTTTGGTTTCATGTGACCAGAGCACCTTCTTCCACATGTTTGGTGTCTCCCAGGTGCTTGTGGCAAACTTTAAACAACACTTTTTATGGATATCTTTGAGAAATGTCTTTCTTCTTGCCACTCTTCCATAAGGGCCAGATTGGTGCAGTGTACGACTGATTGTTGTCCTATGGACAGACTCTCCCACCTCAGCTGTAGATCTCTGCAGTTCATCCAGAGTGATCATGGGCCTCTTGGCTGCATCTCTGATCAGTCTTCTCCTTGTTCCAGATGAAAGTTTAGAGGGACGGCCGGGTCTTGGTAGATTTGCAGTGGTCTGATACTCTTTCCATTTCAATATGATTGCTTGCACAGTGCTCCTTGGGATGTCTAAAGCTTGGGAAATCTTTTTGTATCCAAATCTGGCTTTAAACTTCTCCACAACAGTATCTCGGACCTGCCTGGTGTGTTCCTTGGTCTTCATGATGCTCTTTGCGCTTTGAACAGAATCCTGAGACTATCACAGAGCAGGTGCATTTATACGGAGACTTGATTACACACAGGTGGATTCTATTTATCATCATCAGTCATTTGGGACAACATTGGATCATTCATAGATCCTCACTGAACTTCTGGACTGAGTTTGCTGCACTGAAAGTAAAGGGGACCAATAATACTGCACGCCCCACTTTTCAGTTTTTTATTTGTTAAAAACAGTTTGACACATCCAATAAATTTCATTCCACTTCACGATTGTTTCCCACTTGTTGTTGATTATTCACAAAAAATTAAAATTTTATTGCTTCATGTTTGAAGCCTGAAATGTGGCAAAAGGTTGAAAAGTTCAAGGGGGCCGAATACTTTCGCAAGGCACTGTATGTCACTTTATCTGTGCTGCTTATTATCCATGCTGAGGATTTCTTGCCTTTAAGCTGCTTTATTTATACCTATCTGCTCACAACAGAACAGACTTGTGTTCAGGCTGTTGTTTAATACACCATATTATATTACATTATTATTGTTTAGCATATATTTTAGCACCTTGTATACCGTTTCTTATTTTATACTTTATATTTTTGTTATTTTGGGGTGTAACTGGGACCTTGAGTACACAATGTTGTTTCACCCCATGTACCACATGTGATGCAAATGACAATAAAGAACATTGAGCCTAAATCCACCCAGGGCTGAGCAATACTGGGGAAGCATATAGGCGAAGGATGCATCACATAATAATGATGCCCATGGCTACAAGGTCTAAGATCTCAAAATAGAAATCTCCCAGAACAAAAACAAGTGCTCATTACAGTGACAGACATCCAAGACAGCCTCAGGAATGAAGAATTGGACTGCACCTGGGCCTAACATGATCCACACCAACTGGCTAAAGAAACTACTCTCCATGAACGCCTAGCAACACAGATGAACCAGCTGCTAATGGAAGGGTCCCACCCAGAGTGGTTGAATCAAGGCCAGCCAGACAGTCCTGATAATGAAAGACCCCCAGAAAGTGGCAATCCCTTCCAACTACTGGCCAATCACTTGCTTATGTACAAAATTGAAGTTCCTATCAGGCATCATAGCAGATAAGATGAATAGGTACACGGGTCAATTATTGAGCAAGGCACAGACGGGAATTGACACTAACACCAGGGGAGCCAAGCACCAATTGCTAGTTGACAGAACCGTAGACCAAACTATTAGACTAGACACACGTATCTGTGCACTGCCTGGATTGACTACAGGAAAGCCTATGACTCAATACCACACAAATGAAAACTGGAGTTCTTGAAACTATACAACTTGAACATGACATGAAGGGAATGTGGAAAACAACTCTAGAGGCCAGTTCAAAGCTAATTGCATAAGTCAGCATTACATATGGCATTTACCAAGGAGATGCACTGTTCCCACTCCTGCTCTACATAGGCCTGGACCCCCTCAGCCCGATCATTGCAAAGAGTGGCTATGGATACATGTTCCAATGTGAAACAATCATCAGTCACCTCCTCTACATGGATGGCATAAAGCTGATTTCAAAAAATGAGTGAGGCATCGACTCACTGATCCACCTTGCCAAAACATACAGCAAAGGCAATGGAATGTCATTTTGACTAGATAATTGCAGTCGAGTGGTATACAAGATAGAAAAGATTATCACAACTGAAAGGGTTGCACTACCTGAAGGCAACATTGCTGATGTCCAGGACAACTGCAAATACCTTGGAATGCCACAAACAAATGGCTATCATGATGAGGCTGCAAAAAATGTCAGCCACAACTAAGTACCTACAGAGAAAATAAGGCAAGTCCTGAAGAACCAGCTGAACAGCAAGAAAAAAAGTTTGAGCCATCAGCATGTATGCAGTGCCACTCATTAGGTATCCAGCTAGTATAATAGTGTGACCAAAGGAGGAAATAGTAGCCAGTGACATTAAGACTCAAAAGCGCTACACAGTGCATGGATAGTTTCACCCAAGTCCCTCACCTTCGGTACACACTAAAAGGAAGGAGGGAGGCAGAGGACTACTGAGCATCTGAAACACTGTACAGGATGAAACAACTATGATCCTGGAGTATAACAGGAGGGAAGCCCCTGACGATGAGCTGATGAGTGTCACAGGTAGCAGCAGAATCCGAAGGAGGAAGAGAAGAAACAAGAGGAGCCACCATGGAAATATGAGCCACTGCACGGCATGTATTAGCAGCAGATTGCAAAAGTGGCTGATATCAACAAATCCTACTGGTGACTAGAGAGGGCTGGGCTGAAGGGCAGCGTGGAGGCAGTGAACATGACAGCACAAGAACAGACCC